CTCAGAGACTACAAAGAATAGCAACTAGTTTTGTGCTCAAGGAAATTTTAAAAACATTCAAAAGAAACCATGTGGGATGACTGCCTTTGTGGTGGTTACTTCAGAAACCAGGTTTGTTTTTCCATTTTCACTTTTGAAACAGAGGCACAACCTATGCAGAGAACCCTGTGAGAATGAGAGGCATTCTTCCTGTTGTAAGGAGCAGAACAATTTAAGATCACCATTGTTTTGAACACTTCACAAAATAAATAAAATATATAGGCTGGCTATGGACAACTGGTTTTTCTCTGGATCTTTCAAACTTAGAGATTGAAGAAAAAGCTCCTGGAAATTGGGCAGTAGAAGTTATTTGATTCACACAAATCCAAACATTCCTATACTTTTGATGGAATGCATAACTCTATCTTCTACCTGCACATTGCTCCATCTCTTTATTCTACCTAATAATATAGCAAGAGTAAACAAAATTGCATAGAATTGTAAGGGGCCAGGGTTTGCATGCTGGCTACGGAATTCTGGGAGTTGAAGTCCACCTGTCTTAAAGTTGCCAAGGTTGGGGAACCCTGTTCTAGGAAGTCCTTTCATTGCTGGAATCATATTTGCATGGGTTCTCCAGCGCTGGATTCTGAGAAAGCCATAGGGAAGGGGGGTAAGGGTGAAAAGAGACTGTAAAACTACTCCCCTTTCCATTTCTTCCATGTTTCAGCTCTTCCAAATGGGCATCAAGTTAGCATGCAATATTGGAATAGCTCTTCCATATTTTCTGGAGTGCCTTGTTGGTGCTTTCTTGAAATTGCTCAGTCAGGGCCACATTGTTCTACCCCACATCTTGGGCAAATAACTGAAAATCATTTATGAACAATCAAACTCTGCGGTGACTGTTTTAGCCTGCAAATTTCTCAGCTAGAGTTGCTTTTCTTGCTGAATCATCAGACAAGGCTTTAAATCTTTGCATAACATTCTGGTAATTATGGATCATTGCTTTCAGTGATGACCACTGCCCATTTGGCTGTCCCTTCTTTCAGCAAACTCAGAACAAAAGTCATATTGGTACGATCTAGAGGAAATTTTGACAGCCAACCCACAATAAGCAATTTACACTGTGTTGTAAAAGTCAGGAATTGATCCTGACTTCCGAAATCCTCCAAACTGCTCTGGAAGACTCCCATGATTGCACAGAAATATCAGCTGGGCTGCTAGTTGCTGTATCACTGAAGGTTGAAGCAAACCTTCTCCCAAATGCTGTGTTAGTTGTACCATTGAATTTTGCAGGTAAGTTATTTGTAAATCTACTTGGTGGTGTTGCAATAATGCTGCAGCAAGCTCTGAAGATTGGATGACATCCCTCTATTTCTTTATGGTTGCTTGCACAATTGCAGGCAGTAGATATGCAGAAGAACACCACTAGCAGGGGTGACCTAAGGGTATGGTCAAAAAAGTCAAGTTTATATTACAAAATAATTTAATGCATTTTGCAATTGTCCCTCAGTGCTACACTCAGCTTTAAATGTACAATTTAAGCAACCTTATGTTCACTAATATTAACATTTCAGAAACCATAGTTGATATTGACATAAACCTTTTTCCCTTATGTTTAAAGGTTTAAGTTATCTAAATCATCGTAGTGTCAACAGTCTCTAGTTAATACTCTACAAGTACTGCTGTACCAAATAATGTAACATACTATTTGCATGTATATAGTAAATGACTATTTTAAAAAGTCAAGATGGCAACCACAATGTGATCAAAGACCTGCTTCTTTTAAATGAGTGCCACATGTAAAATGCATATTAAAAATGGGTGAAGCTTCAATCACACTATTAAAGCCATCATCTTGACTTTTTTGACCATACCCTGCAGAAATGGGCCATCAGTCTAACAGCTACCAGTGTTTTGGGGAAAGCTGGCACTGCTGTTGGTTACTTTGAATATAGAACATTTTTTTTGACACAGAAAGAAACCAGAGTCCCCAATTCTTTGGGGTGGCCAACTCAGCACTAGGGACCCCTCTCTCAGTAAGTTGCTCCATCTCAATGAAAATGCAACAGCCTTCATATAAGTATTCTTTTCAGGCAGGCCCTGGAAAAAAATTCCATGTCTTCTATCAAGTAAGAGAAGCCACATGTCATACTGCCATGGATGAACCCTTGCAAAGCTGTGATCTTTTAGGGTTCTCGAAAGGAGTAAGTATTCATTCTTCCTCCTCTGAAGTGGCAGAAAGGAGTTGGGGGGCAGGAAAAAGGAGAGAGGTTGCCCACCTTCAGCTGTGGGGTATATGGGGCTGCCAAGATCGCTTTAGACAACAAGGCAAAAGATTCCATTAGAACAGACATGTGGAAAAACTGCATTTTGACACCAGCCTTAAGGATGGATACAGTTAGGTAGATTGTCTATACTGTCACATGACATATGTGTGTGCACACACACAAGAAACTGGATCCTGACTAACATTCAAGAGACGTGACTCCCAGATGAACCAAGATCTTCATTTGAGGATATTATCTGAGTGCCCCTGGTTTTTTGGAGATATACCCCTTTTATAGGTTGTGCTGCCCATAAACATCCATCTTTGGTGTTATGTTTGGGGGCTCACAATACAGGTAGTCCTCACTTACTGACCATTTGTTCAGCAACCATTCAAAGTTACAACGGTGCTGAAAAAACTTTACAGGCCATTTATGACCATTTATGTCCCTCAGTCATGTGATTGCCATTACAGTCATTACACGTCCTGTGCTTGACCTGTTTTTTTTTTTCTTTTTCCCGCCTTGCAGAGCAGAAAGATTGGAGAGAAAGGGATTGCAAGATTGTAAGCTGTTTGCTTTTCTACCCCTCAAAAGCAATGTGATCGTGCTGGCAGCCCGGGGCTGGGAACTGCAGGCATGCTATGCAAACAGCTTACAGTTCTCTCTTGAAATCTCTTCCTCTTCAATCTCTCCCCTCTGTGAGGAGGGGTAGAATAAAAGCAAGCAATTTCTGTTGACAAACTCTCCTTTGCCTGCCCCCCCCTGTGCCCCCCCCCCCAGCAGAGCAGAGAGATTTCAAGAGAATAAACTGTTTGCTTTTCTACACATCAAGAGCAATGCAATCGTGCCAGCAGCCCAGGGCTGGAAGCCGCAGGTGCATTACACAAGCAGCTTATGGTACTCTCTTGAAATCTCTGACCCTTCCCTGCCTTGCAGAGCAGAGAGATTGGAGAGAAAGGGTTTTCAAGAGAGTAAGCTGATTGTGTAGCACGCCTGCAGCTCCCACCCTGGGCTGCCAGTGCGATTGCATTGTTTTCGATAAGTACAAGACAGTAAGCAGGCATGTGAGCATTCCAAAGGGTGGGGAGGGGTTGGGAGGCAAACCAAAGCTGAAGGTGTGAAACTGAGTAGTTCTATGTCTTTCCAGCCAGAAAGCACAGTAGCAGTCATGTGATTTCCCACTTAGCAACCGCTTCGCTTAGCGGTGGAGATGCTGGTCCCAATTAGGGTTGTTAAGCAAGGATTACCTGTAGACCGTATTATTTGCTCAAAGATGTTCAAAGATGCTGAATTTATTCATATGCTATTTAATCATATATTTTACACTGTTTATTCTGGCACTGAACTATTAATCTATCAATCATCATCATCATCACCACCATCATCATCTATAATTTGCTTTAGTATTACATCATTATTATGAATAGCCCTCATTATCCACACTCTTGCATATCCACCATTAACTGTTAGAAACTTGGTATACATAAAGGTTTTCACATATCCAGGATTATAGCCTTGTATTGGGATTACTTTAGGCATGTGCAAAATGGCGGTCAAGATTTATAGAGTGTGTTTTTTAAGGGTTAGGTATACGTGGCCTGAGAAATGTACTTCCTGGCTCAGGTGTTGCAGAGCTGAATTCACTGTATCAGCCCAGTGAGCTTCACAGGGCAAGTGGGATGACTCTTCCAACCACCAGCCAAGCCATGTAGAGCCTCATAATTGGGGTGACCCAGAGAGTTCCAACATGACTTAGCAAGGAGAAGGGGGAGCAAATACCAGGTAGATTTGGGCAGATAACTACAACAAGAGGAAAAAAGGAGGAGGTACCTTCTCCATATCATCCTGGTGAAGGTCTACCTCTGTGGTTGCTAAAAGTTAACACCAACTTGATGGCACATAATCAACTTATGAAAGAAAAAGAATGACAGCCATCAATTCTCTCAAGTTCTCACACTTTGTTCCACCCTTGTACCTTTTTTTCAAGATATATCATTTCCTTTCTTGAGGAAATTAAGGCTGGTTTATTAGTACCATGTAATCACTGTATAGTCATGATAGTTGTTTCCTTGATTTTGTTTCCATTGATCATCAGTTGATGGTTTAGTTTGTATTCTTCAGATCTCTTATCTTGTTCTTCCTTTTGTTCCCCTATCATGGTCAACTAGTAACAGAAGGATAAGAGCACAGTAGGATTCAGAGAGAACATAATAGAAAGATGCATATCAAGAACAGATTAAAGAAGATACACATTTCATATCAAGAGATGTGGAACATGATGGGTTCTGTTTCTTAACAGTAATAAGTGATTTCACCCAAATCTTGGATTGATAAATGTAGTTAAACTGATGTCTCTCTTTGTTTCTCTTTACAGCCCTCTGGAAATTGTACAGCCGACATTGATATTCATGAATCGGAGAAGCTTGCCGCCATTTCACAGAAATGCAAAATTAACCCAGGTAAGTAAATTTTCGATCTTGTTGCTTAACTTTGAATGGAAACCCAACCCAAAGGTAGGATAATAGGTTGCAAAAAACTGCTAGTGATAGTGGAGAAAAAAATGAGTGGCCAGATGAAAGATCTCTACCAATATTTTAAAGAAAAACTCAGGAAAGGATGATACTGGAGCACCTTGAGCTTTATTTTCTGTTGTGTGTATTCAGTACACCATGGGCCAGACTAGATTTAAGAAGTGAATTGTTCAGTAGCCAAATCAGGGACGCAGCACTACATTGTGGTCAAGAGTTGCATATTGTTTAATGGCATCCACGAATGGAGGGAGGTCAAGGTGAATGGTACCCTTAAGCCTTAATTTTTACACCATATTCATTTTGTCCCTTAAAAGTCCCATTGACATAGGAAAAATCAGCCCAATTTTGAGTGATGAAGGGTTTTAATGAGTGCAATGAATGCCTTGAACCTTGATTCCTTATGGCATTTCACCTCACCCCAATCCCCCAAAACAAAAAATGGGCTAGCCTACATTGTTCTAGATTTTGTCCTCCAAACACACGCACTTGTTTGTCAGAGATAAACCTTTTCCCCAAAACTTTGTTTGACAGGGATGGGTGAAAGAGAAAAGAAGATGGGATCTCCAGCCACAACCCTCTCATTTTCCACACACACAAAAAGTTCTGCTTTCTGATGGGTGTATCAACCTTGTTGTTACAATTCTGCTGACCAAACTAAAAAAAAAGAAAAAGGAAGGAGTAGCTGCACAAGAGAGCTGTGCGGTCATTCTGGCAGCCATAGCACATATGGCCATAAAGGTTCATAGTTCACCCGCCAGACAAGAGACAGTCTTTGCAGTGGGCCAATGGTAGCTCATCAGGAACCTCCACAGGTTCCTCCTCCATGAGACCTGAGGTCTTCTGCTTTCCCATGGAAAAGAATATTTTCCTGCCAGTATGCGGGTGGGTCAAGGAGGTTACATGGAGGAGCCTAGAATCCCCCCTCCAAGTATAAATCTGGGCTGATTATGGTCATCTTCAGAGATGAACCAAGATCAATTACATAACTTAATGAAACTGCCCCTGCTCTCCTTTCCAAGCTTCCATTTGACATCTCTCCTAGAATTGTAAGAATGAAATAAACTGCAATTTATTTAAGATATTTAATGATAGCCCACCTTTCAGTAAAACATATAGGGCAGTTTTGTGTTATAATAGAAAAAACAGAGCTAAATAAGAATGTGAACATCTGCCAGTGACACCAAACACACCAAAGGAAAACATATTAAAGGGGATGATGTTATTTCACACCCACTTCTAATTGTATTTGCATTGTAGAAAAATAGAGAAGAGATGGCACTGCAATTCTCACAAGCTCAGTGCAAAAAGTTTAACATCTATCACATCCAAGGATTTGTAATATATGCTGGTGAATTCAGACACATAAATGAAGAGTAGTCCTGCTCCAGCAAGCCCTGTGCAAATAAATGCATGTGCAAATGCATCCCAGATTATTAAGAGGCACGACTGAACTAAGCTTTTTAAAATAAAAAAGGCAGGTTTTTAATCTACCAGCAAGCCTTTCTTGGTTTCAGACATGTTCACAAGGTAATGGTGACATCTAGTTGTCAGCAGCTTTAAGTGGCCAGGATATTGCTATACCTTGTCTTCAGAATTAAAATCCAAAACAACAGGAAATGCACTTTTTGTTCCCATGCCTAACAACAGTTCTTCTTTGCACTTGGAAAAAACAAACAAACAAACAAAATCTAAATGTTTGGAAGGCTAGGACCAGATCTCTCTTCTTTTTATATACTGTACATGTGCAAACTGCCATATATGCAAAAGTAATAAACCACAGTGTCGAAGGAAGAAGGTATAACATTCTCTGCATCTCTGTAGTAAGATGGGCGGTGACAAATTTGGAATATAAATAAATAAATAAAACATTTAACCTACCATTAATTTCTTTTGGCTTTTTGTAAATTATTAATTATTTGCTTTCAGGCCAGGAGAAGTTACTGTCAATGGATATTGAATGCATGGGTTGCTGGCATCCCATTCACCCCAAGAGTTTGGAAGTGCTTCCTATCGTGAGATACACCATACGGCAATTTAACAATCACAGTAAACACCCTGCCTTATTTCATCTTGAACGAGTAATAAAAATTGACCGTCAGGTTAGTATATGTTTTAATAATTCCCCATCTTAATATTACAGAATTAGATTATTTGGATACACATA